TGTTTTTAGTTATGTAAGCTTTTTGTCTACGCTAATTAACTTAACGTGGCATTGACCAACCCGAAAGTCGTAGCTACTTTGGTTATTACGCACCTTTACTTTCTATTTATTGTAATTTTTTGTTTCTGTGTTCTTGTTGGTAATATGTAGTATTTATTTACAGATAGATTGATTGTAAGAAATAGTGCAAAACAAAAAATCTGAAATCTACTGTTATTCTTTATGAAAGCAGGGTTGGACACTTAATTTTGACAGCACTCGCCATTCGGCGAGTGACCCTCAAAATGCACTCGCCCGGACCAGTTTTCACTCGCCCAAACCGAGGATTATTACTTCAATTAAAAATTCTATTTGAAGAACTTAAACCCCAAGAAAACACAATCACAGTCGAGGTTCTTTACATTTCAAATAGTTTTTTATCGATGAATTTTCGTGAGATCCCTGCAGTTTGCGAGTAAACGTTCTGTTTTTCTCAGGCGCGGTCGTTGGACGCCATGTTTACCTGATCACTGATGGCTCGATAGTGACCAGCAGTATCACTTTGTTCAGCTACATGGGTTATGTAATTATCACTAGGAGGAAGCCATATTTGTCTATTTACGAAGCTCACTGTTGCCTTTCAGCGCCAATTTATTAGTCAGTTCGGAATATAAAACTTTGTAAAATAGAAATGATAAGTTTATGTTTAGGGATTTTCTCAGCAAAATGGAATGTAAAAAACAGTTTATTTCGCAATATAAAATAAGCTCTTGGCAACGAAAATCGCACTCGCCAAACGGGTGAGTGATCGATGATTTGCTCTCGCCCGACACTTTGAACACTCGCCTGGGCGAGCGGGCGAGTGCTAATATCCAACCCTGTCAAAGTGTTTTTTACTGTTGGGTAAATTTTGCAAAGAAAATCCTCTTTTACTGTGCCCTATGTTTATCATTACTCTAATAAATTATATACTGGCTATCAAGCAAAAAGTGTCAACGGACACCTTGATTGCATAAATTAACATTGAACATGCTTCCGAGTGGGGTTTAGGGCGAAAAAAAAAATGCAGAGTGGAACGCACACTGGGGTTGAAGATCTCGCCCAATGCCACCCCCACCCCCCTGTACAGACCTCGCGCTGTTTGACAGAGATGTGGGTTCAAGAATAACATCAAAGTGCAATCACCAAATATCTCTACGTGTCCACTTGGGATTAATTAGGGACGAGAGAAAAAAAAAAAACAATTTTATCAATATAAATCTAATGAAATGCGAAATCTATAGTAAATATATATTAGTTGTTAATTGACGTTGCTGTTTTGGTTATTTAAATTCTCTTTCACTTAACTTTCTAGGGCAAACTAAATACAACGAACGCTGTTATTTCCCGCATCTGAGTTACCTTCTTTGACTGAAACTTAACTATGGACTGAACAACATGAAAACTGCCACTCCTTAAGCAAATAACGGTTTGAACCTCAGAGTCTAGGGTACTGGACACGGTCGTGTGTGTAATTTAGAAATCCAAGATAATATTTCCTTCTTGCCCGCCAGCAGGCGCATAAAAACAGGGAAGACGGGGTTTTCACGTCCCGATTTCCTTCCCTGTTTATACCTGCAAAGCAGGCTTATTTCCTTCAGCTGCGGGCTATAACTTCACCTTTACAATGAATTCATTAAAGCTCTTATTCACAGATTCGGGTCAACATATTAGAAATTTTCCTTGTTGTAGTAGAACTTGACTCCCTCGGCAACATTGCTGTGTGCATTTGCTGTTTTGTGGAGCTGATGCGAAAGAGCTGCTGGTCCACAGAAAAATACACCAATTTTCGTCCTGTAAGAAATCGAAATTCCAATATTATTAATATTCAAAAATACCCCTTCCTCCATTTAGATTAAACTCTTAAACAAAGATCATGTAATTCTTCGGATTATGAGTCTTTTACCATAGAGTGCTTGACATTTTTTTTTTTTTTTTCAAAAATTGTAACGGCGTATTCAGGGACTGCCGAATCTTCATTGACGACCGTACAGAACGTTTAGTGTTTCACAACGTTGCATTAAGATAAGTTTTCGACTTAGTATTCTTTATATGTGAATGCACCTAAAAAACTCCACGTACCAAATTACTTCCAAATGTTAACCCAGTGCCGGATCTAGGGGAGGCCCCCCCTTATCTTGGGTAAAATATTAAAAAAAAGTCGCAGAAGGAAGAGAAGCCGGCAGGGCAAGCCTCCCCTCCGCCCTCGCCCCCCTTAGCTGAAGGTCTGTATCCGCCACTGTAACCTGACCATTTGATCAACAGTAATAGCTAAGGGCTGAGTTATGGATTTGACGGTATTCTGTAAGGCATATGTTACCGTACGTCCATGACGTGGAAAAAATCATCGATAACCTTCAGAATCTAGTTAGGACCCATGGTTGTCCCCTGACTAGTCTAAATTTGTACTCATCTCTTTTGAAAAAGCCAAATTTCTTTTTTGTTGAATTCAATTAGAGGCCCCCCCTCTCCCTCCCCCACTCAGTGAATCACCGATAGCTCAGCTTATATTTTTTGTTATCATTAATTTTGTTGTAATGTTGTTGAAGGATATTATAGCATTAGACGAGAACTCGAACAGTGTAGCTTACCTAGGATGTGCTCTGGCGACGTTACCAAAGATTCCGTTCCACTCAGGCCGGCCGTAGCGAGTTTTTTGCTTACAGCCTGTAATAATGTCATCTTCTTCATCTTCATGAAGGACAATGGTACGAGCCTAATGAGGAAGAAGGTCAAAAAACAACCTTGAGAATCTATCGTAATTAAATCGTGTTTATTGATCATGCATACCCAAGATAAACGATATTCTTTTCCACGTCCGTACCGTAAAGAAGTCCATTTTTGACTTAATTTGTTTTGTTTTCCACGACTTGGAACTTCAAGATAATTTAATAAAATCTTGTCCTTCCAAAATTTCGGCGTCCGACGCGAAATCGAATTATCACGGTAGCTTCGTTTTGCACATCAACTGATCACGGAAACTCACCATATTTGGACCCCATCCTCTAGTAAGGTAAATATTGTACTCCAAGAAATCTCCGTTTCCTGTTTCCACCATCTGAAAAACAACACGTTGGTTTAGGTTTGGTTTCACGTCTCGACACATGTACAACCTGTAATACCCATTTTGACAATTGAGAGGAGGTTGGTGGCTCATGGGGGAAATTTTCCTTTCAAAATTCCGTGGTCAGCCGCGAAATGAGGTGGTCTGACTTTTCACATTAGACTTCAGTTTGTATCTTTCGACTCCAACGCGCGCACGCCCAGCCAATTCATTGTTGATGCGGGTAGATCATGTGTGCGCATGTTGAGATCTACTGTGAATCGATGTGAAATTTGAGCAGCAGTTTTCCCGAGCAGGCATCGAACCCGGGCCGCATCGGTGGGAGGCGAGCGCTCTCACCATGAGCCATAGCTTGCACATGCGCCGAACCGTAAACCTACCCCTTTAAAAAAAAGCTAAATCACGTTCACTTCTTTCTAGCGATCTCGTTAAAGCCGATCCTTCGCAAGCATTGTTAGTTACTTCACGATTCAATCTTCCGAAAAAGAATTGGCAAAGAAATAGAAACTCACCCTCTCTTCTAGATACTGCAAGAGATCTGTAAACCACTCGAAGGCGTTCGTGTCTGGACAGATCCAAAAGAAATAAACTTTCTTAACCACTGGGTTCACGTTATTTTGTTGGTGTTGATACCTGGAAACGCAAATGACAAAAATATAATGAAAAGAACGTCTTCCGAAACACACTTTAAAATCACTCAGATCACCTCCTAGAACTGACTGCCTAACCATTTTGACACATTTTTTACTGGTAAAACACAGCTTAAGAACACTTGCAAGCCGTTCACATTACCTATAGCCTAGTTGTGATTTAAAAAATGCTCCACCTGGTCTATCAAAATCCAAAATGATTTACCGTCCCATTAATTAAACTAAATCTCTGTGTTTATCTATAACAAATTAAAGAAGCCGTTGAATTGAGGTAGTAGTTCTTATCGTTTTCTATAGATAATTTGGTCAAACTTACCATATCGACTTCAAAACCGACGCGAAAGGCGTCACTCCAATACCTGCGCCAATGCACATACACACTGGGTACTTGAAAACGTCCTGTGCAAAAAAATCATCCAATTAAAACTTGTCTGTACTATGCCTTTCATTGTCGCAATTACGACATAGTCTAATTTTAGAAGCGACTGATATGACGTCACCAAAACTCTTAACTTGTTCAATTTACTGTCAATTCTACAAAGCTCACTCTTAGATCATGCCAATATAATTTAACTTACCGAGCTCGCCGTTCCAAAAGGTCCGTCAACAGCAAGTCTACGAAGCGAAAGAAAAGAAAAACCGAATCACAATCGGATCACAAATAAACCAGTGGTACTAGAATATAGTTCATGGGGAGGAACATTGAGCGGTTTTCAATTGAGCTTTATTAAAACCAAAACCAACGTGATCATTCTAGCCAATCACAAAAGACGCACAATCCAGAGAACCAATCGAAACCCGAAGCAAATACTTGATTACGTTGCTATTGCGAAGTGCGGGAAAACGTATGTGTGTGTGCGAGCCACTATTAGTTTTAGTTTGGCTTGAGATTGGATGACAAAGTGGCGCGATTTTTATAAGTAAATAAATACATAAATTAATATATTTAGAGAGGAAACCACATCAGCCTTAGCTGGTTTTCCTATAGGTCCTCTATCCTGGCCAAATTGGAATTTGCAGTGTTGGTTTTTGTGGAGGGAAGAAAACCGGAGAACCCGGAGAAAAACCCTCGGAACAAGGCATGAACCAACAACAAACTCAACCCACATATGGCATCGGACCGGAATCGAATCCGAGACGCATTAGTGGGAGGCGAGCGCTCTCACCACTGCGCCATCCCTGCTCCCCCTAAACCTGTTCCTTTAAGAATAGTGACGCAGTGACGCAAAACCAATGCACTACTTTGAGAATCAAGTGAAAACTGCTCCATGAGAGAGAAAGATCGATTGCACTGTAGTAATAGACGATTTTTGAAGTGGAAAGCACGATAATGGCTACCAATAAACAGTGCAAGATCTCTTAGTGTTTTACAGGCTGAATACCAAGCCTGGCAAGCCAGACGTATCTCCATTATTTCTAAAGGTGACACAAATTGTATTGGCGAAAATTAGGACTGAAACCATCATTTTTTTCTCTGCTAACCTTGGCATGTCAGCTAGACTTCTTGTTTCTTTTCCATCACCACTACAGAGTTTAGCCAATCCACCTAACAAAGGACAATAATAAACAAACAATCAGGAAAATAAAAGAAAACAAACAATGGTTATTCACAACTCCTTAGGTCTGTTGTAATCCACCTGCTATCGTTGTTCTGTACTTAATCACATTGACTCGAGCGGGACTAAAGGTCGCGTTTGAATCATGGAGAACAAATGACAAGCACAACCGCGTTTAACTGTTGTTGCGCGAATGTGACATTCTTTTCCTACTAAAAACTGCCTCACCTGTCCAGTCTCCAGCGATACGAATATGCACAGAGAAGAAATCATCCTCCGGGGCCTAAAAAAAAATGTGTCGTCATTTATTATTAGTTGTTATTAGCCGGTACACTAAAAGAGAAGTGCGTGACATTGAGCGATTAATGACTGACCCCAAGGGAAACAGTGAGTGTTGTTTCCCTGAGACCCTCAATGAATATCAATTGAAAGTCGAGGGGAAAAAAACTCACTGTTTTCCTTAGGGCTAGTCATTAAGTGCTTTGTTACACCCCCCACCTCAAAAATGGAACAAACTGAGAAAAAAATTATTTGCTTGACACCGGCTGGCACACAAATTTGCCGCGTTTTTAAGGTGCACGACCTGATCACGTGCCGGTCGAAAGTTCAAGTTGTTTCCTTAGAGAATTAGTGAGTTTTCTTCGCCCCAGAGATATAGTGAGTCTTGACCCATAACACGTGACACGTTCTCTTCCAATCGGAAAACGTGTTTGAGTTGGGAGGCATAACAATGGCTATTTATACGCACTAGACCTATCAAAATCACAGGTTTTTATTTAACGGAAGGGCACTGTCCAGAGATAGTTATGAGTTGGATTGATTGGCGCTACATCGATATCATGGATTCTAACTCTTCTTTTATTTTCTTGTAGTACATGTACAGTTCTAGAAATCTTAGGACAAGCTAACTAACCCATTTAACTAATCATCGGCGGAAAAAGAGACTCAAGCTTAGCGTTTCTAGATATTATGTTTGCCTAAATTAAGTTAGATTAATTAAGGTTTCACAAGTTTGAACACAACAGCTTACCGACGTTAGTGTAAACGGGTGCCACTCTAAATGAGAGAGCTTGGGACACTTGAGAAAAATATACTGAAACGAAACGAGGAAAAATTAAAATTCGTTACTATTTCTTGTTTACAAACATTCACCTTTCAAGACGAGTTTTAAACAAAGTAGCAGAATGGTTTGAAAGGAGTAACGATTTAGCCAGAACACAATTAAAACAAATAAGAAATCAAGAAATGAAAGAAGTAAAAATGAAAAGACATACCTGTCCGGCTTCGTGATGGAAGCCAGCTTTTTTCATTTGGATTTCGATAACTTTGGATGGATGGTTAACGACCTGCACGATAGAATAGAAACTTGTGAGTAAATTAAAATCTACATCGCATATCGATAAAGATCGTATTCCTCTGACTTCAAAGCTAGTAAACTTAGTAAGACACCCTTATATACTAATTAAGAGCAATGCTGAAAAAACGTACAATGTTTCTTTTAATAAGACCCTTATTAAAAAATCTAAGAAGAAAGTTCTAATCAATGATGAGACGACACCTAACGCCGACGCTTAACGTAATAAGAAGCAACTACAACAATATTTGGACAGACTGCTCCTAGGTTCTTTAATTGCTTTCAAAAGTCGTAATGTTCTATCACGCGTTAAAAATTTCTCCAGTGTACCATGTTAAGGCACAAGGAAGTATAAAGTGGTTTAACTCAATAGCATGTTCCACACACACAAGGTATGAAGCCGAACCCTCAGCAGTTTTCATCAGATCTCTTTTAATTACTAAACACACGTTGTGCGGTATGAATTACTATGAGTTCAGTAGCAACTTGATAGATAAATTTGTTATCATGATCTTACCTTCAGGATCTTGACCTCTTGGAACGAGCGATAAAACCTGATAGCACGTTCAATAACATACAGTATCATTGGTCCAACGACCCATTTCCAAGTCTGCAAGAGAAAAAAACGGTGATGTTCCCATCAAGACCTATCCTCGCGCGGGTGGTGGGCAGTCAAGTCTAAAGTGTTTCGATCAATATCTTATTCAGGAACGAGGAGAAAGACTCAACACTTAAGTCTTGCAAGTCAACTTTCTTGAAGAGGTCTCGTAGTCACTCGCTGCCAGAAAATATGTGTGGATCATGGGTAATGATGATCACACCAGTTAGAATCGATTAAACTCGATCTACTGGCATAGATTCAAAAGTGATTTCCAACGTTAAGCTAATGACTGGACTTACATTCATTCCAAAAGGTACAAATTTTGGGAGTGCTTTACAAGGTCCGTCCTTTTCCCACTTGTTCACGTCTTTGTAGCATACTTCAGGGTCATGTTCATCCACGTTCGACTGAAATCGCACCACACCCCTGAAAGATACAAGCATTTGTTGATCTTGTCATAAATCAGAATAATTATGTCCAAGAATTACCGTAAAAAAATCTCGCCAATCCAGGCATTAAAAATTTTCTGAGTTTTCTTTGAAATATGAGATCATCTTTGGATATAAACTTCTTTGTTTGATTTTTCTGGTGTGTGAAATCCAAATATATTTGATTTACGTGCTCCAGTCTTTGTTTTCGGTTTCCCTAAACATATATGTAAGTTAACGATGTAAAATAACCGTTGAATTCAAGCAAAAACAATAATACAGCATTTCTTTAATAGGTTATTTATTGTTATAGCATAACTAAAGCAAAGCGCGCGTTCTGATTGGTTAATTTAGCGTCTACTATTTACCCATGGGTGTACGCTGCTGACGTGTGTGCTGATGTTTACAAAGCAAATCTTTTGACAGACATTGTTTCCAAAGTAATGGCCGACGTCCTTCNAAAGCGCCGGAAGAAAATGAGAGCAGTCGAGCTATCACGTCCACGGATTCTGAGATTCAAATATTCGTGTTGCAAAGCAATCCTTGTTAAATGACACTGAGCTGTTTTCAAGTGAGTGTCGTGAAACCACAAGCAGAGTATTAAATCACTCCAGCCAATACAATCACGAAGGGCACGGACAATAAAGTGAACCAAACAAAACTTGAAGGAATTACATGTAGCTGACGCAAAGCGCGGGAAAACGCGTGCGAAAAAGTCACGATTGGTTTTGGTTTCACTTCTGATTGGATGAAAAAGTGGCGCGAGTTTTTTAAGCCAGTCGTGTAGCGTAGTTGATATAAAACCAATGAAAACTGCTCTTGACTAGTAGTAAAATAGCAAAATTATTATTTAGAGTCATTTTATTATGACGCTAATTATGTTACTATTGAAGATTCAGTGAGTTTGATTCGCCACGTAGCATTGTTCAACTTTTAATCACAAGACAATATGAAAAAGGAAAACAATTGCTTTCCAGTAACTTTGTTTCATGGACATTATGGTAAAAGCACACAAGGTAAACTGGTAACACTTCACATAATCTAATCACTTCACTTCATCTAATCTTGAACAGAGGCAGAAACACATCACTATATAGAGGTATATACAACAGAAATGCTAAACAGTATTTATGACACCTGAAAGCTATGAATGTTAATTGTATAAAACTGTCCAGTTTGAATCTAATTCTCAGTTCCACTGCTTGTATACTGATTCAATGCAGTCACAAACATGATTCTTTCTAGCGTTTTGAAGCAACATTAACCTCTGTCATATAAATATCTTTAATTTACACTGGCCGGAGTGTAATCAATGTTTTCATCAATGCACAACTGAGTACATTCCAGCACTGTGGATTGGAGGAAGGAAACCTTCACTGGTGTCTGTGAGCTGGTTCACTTGTATTTCTGTGTATTTAGCTGGTTGGCTATTTTCAGTGCCTTTATCTAAAAGATAAATATGATTTGTTAGATTTGCATCAGATCTCGTAACTCTCAACTCTTAAAAAGGTAATTGGTTGTTTAGCCCCCAAGTTGATTAGCCCCTAACTGTTTAGGCCCCAACCAGAAGTTGACAACACAGTGTGCATTCTTTAAGTGTCAATATGAGGGCTTATCGACTTCTGGTTAAGCCTAACCGGCTAGGGGCTAATCGACTTGGGGGCTAAACAACTGGTAACCTTAGAAAATGATTTCTTGGCCATTTATTGCAAGCTTTGTTTCATTTCTACACCTCCCCTCATATTTCCTTCCCCTCATATTTAGTTTGCCTAAGTTTGACCATAGCAATACTTTTCATATTTTCTTGTTTCAGGTAAAAAAGAGCTACAGAGCATAGGGACTGACTTACATGTAGTTCAAAACAAAGTTCTTTTAAATAGGTCATTGTATCTTGATTGATTGAAAGTGATCATGTAAACTAGCAACTACTTACATTCATCACAGACCTGTCAGGTCTTGTAATCTAACATATCTAAGTACTAACCATTTTGCCCTGCTGTATCTCTTTGATGTCTTTGTAAAGGTTCATTGTAGTTTGGTGGAGGAACTTTCCTGGGACATAACTGACCAAGAGTTGGTCGAATACCAAAACGATCTGCAGTTTAAACAAACAACAAATTACTTAATACATACACCACAGACCCACTCTCTGCCACTAGCTCTACTTGACACTGGAATTTGGCAATCACAAGGACAGTGGTTTTTTGTTTTGATTTCTTTTTCTTCACATAGAAAAGCTGATTATTATTTGAATAGGCACAAGACATTCCTTGTTTGCAGCATGAAAAGCTTAATTAAACTCTATTTAAAGTAAAAGACATTTTTTTGTAAACGCTTATTGCCAATGTGTTCATGTAGTTCCAAAAAACATCGATACCTCCCCCACAGAAGGGATTTTTCTAAGACCCAGTCCCTCTGGAAATTCCAATTAAACTTCATGCATTTCTTCAAATTTTTTGGCCTTACAGACCCCCCACCCCCCAGAGAAATTCCAAAACCTTCTTTGGGGGGGGGGGGGGTAGTAATGGATATTTTCTGGAAATTCTACAATACAGAAACATTATGTTACAAGCAGTCATTAAAACAGCTGCAGAAAGAAATCCCACATTACTCTGCTCACAGGGTAAACCTATATTAAGCTTCACAAAATTTGGAAATATTCACCTAAATATACCGGTACTTGTAACTTCATTATGTTACAAATTAAATAAATGATACCTTTCATTCTAACCACGATACCATTAGTGTATTAAGAAAATTTCCACCTTGTGAATGCGAGGGTTATTAATCCAATTTGTAGAGACAGTGGATGCATACTGGGACAGTCTATATAATTTTTCCAATAAAAATAAGTGACTGCATTTACTTGACAAAAGAAAAACATTTTCTCATATATATGTAATGTAAGTGCATTGAGTTTTCTAAATGTGTCCAAAAAACTTTATTATTATTTATTTAATTATTACTATCATTATCATTATCATTATCATTATCATTATCATTATCATTGTTATTATTATCAAGTCCATGCTGATCTGGTTTTAAGTTAGCTTAGATGATTTCTGATCCAAGGAAGTTTGCTTGATTTTCTGTCCATTGCTCAAATAGACATTTCCAGATAACTGCTTTCTAGAGGCACTGTATGTATCATTCAAGGTTAAAAGGTCGATTTGAATTCATAAAAAGCTGTAGGTATATAGCATTTCTTCTACTCACGTGGGTCTTCGACTCGTTCCTGTCTTCTATGCTCTAAATGGACATTTATGATAGCTTGAGCCTGAAAAATGAAAAGCATTGTTAGAATCCCAGATTCTACTAAATGATATATTTTGCAAGAATAAGTTCAACATTGATCAAATGAAGGGTTAAATTAGCTGAGGGATTACACATCTTTTGGAGTCAACTGATCATTATTATCATACAGACAAAGTATATAATTTAGAAGTCTGCAATAACTTTCATCTTTAACTACTGTGGAGCAGAGAATTATGTTGTTCTCACCTTTTGTCGACAAAGAATGCGATCAGGATCTGTTGACAACTCAGTATTTGCAATATTGTTTTTGATGGCCTAAAAAAAATTGTAGATGTTATAATCAAGGAATTAAGATTGCTTTTATTTATGATTTAACTTAGCTTGACAATTACTACAAGTATGTTTCCACAAAACAGGAAATATTAACATGACCTATTTTTTCTGCATAACAATAACTGATAATTGAACATATCTGAGTGTCAAGTCCAGCTTGGATCTTTCATAAGAAACATTCAACTGAAAAAATGTTCACTTTTGAAAAATCTGATTCTTGTGGAGTTGTTTTGTTGCCTTGCATGTGGTGGCGTGGGAGACATAAGAGCTTGATACTATCATGGAAACCAGATAAATTCTAACCGTCTCAGTCAGCTAGGTCCGGGTATAGATAACTGTACTAGCTCAGACAACTGTTTTACATCAATCATTGCATTCTCTTTGGGGACAATTAACCAGCAAGTTATTTACCATTGAAGCTGTTGACCTTGCATGAGCTGGAAGTTGTTCTTGGTAGTTACTATCTGTAAAGTTATACTCTTCTTCTGCTGGTGAACTCTTGATTCTATATTCATGACAAAAGAGTAAACTTTAACCAAAAAGCCAGTATGTACATTTCCCACATTTAATTTTACAAAAGCCATTTGAAAATATTAGCAAGATTGTGCAAGTTCTATTTATGTGTCAATTGACTTGCGAGCCAAAAAAAAGGTTTTGATAACTCATAGTTTAACAAGTGAATTTCCTATCTTTCCTCGCAGTATTTTCAGAAAGAAATATCTTTTTCACTTTTCTGTTGATCAATACAATTTCGGGAAAGTTTGACGGCTGAGAATAGCTGCAGACAAACTTACAGACTGCTTGAATGTGCTTCCACATAATAATTTTCCTGTATCCCAAACTTCTACTTAATGTGCTTTAACTCGAGAGAAGCAGGAAAAATGTGTACTGCACTCTTGTGAAGCATTTCTCAGTTATTCCAAAGGCTATTCCAAAGGTGATCAGTGTAATCATAAAAGGTAAAGAATCCGATCCCATCAACATGGCAGCCAGTACGTTGGCCAACGCATCGGCCATCAAACTACCGACGCTAAAAAATGCATTGGCTGATGATGTTACTTTACCATCACTAAGGTGTTCTCCTGGATGGTAACACTCAAAGTGCAATATACTCCAGAATCTCAATCACCACACTATATCTTCTTTTCCTTGTCAGAAAAGCTAAATGATTAAGTTAATACATGTACTTACTTCCTATTTGTCAAAAGAAAATATATCTTTTCCATTAACAGAGCTGCTGCATTGGGCTTGCAGTGAATAGTTCCTTCTATCACTTCTTTGGGAATGTCAAATTCATGCCGCTGAAAAAACTAATAATAAAATTACATCAAGAGTTACTGTCAGAAAATCAATAGAGATGTTCGTTACTTTAACAAGACCATAAAAATCCTGAAATAGAAAATAGATTTTTCAGTAGTATATTGAAGATAGAGCAGGGGGTTCATTACACTTTTCAGCAGGTGGGCAAAACTTGTTGAAGTGAACTTCTTCACAAGAAAAATTTCCTCCAGATGGTAGGGGTGGCGAATGGTCCTTCAAAAGATCTGGGTCTCATACAATTTTGGTCTAATTTCATGGGTCTTGCAGTCTCGTTTTTTAGTGGTTATGTGTGTCTCGTAGTCTCGATTTTTCTATGAAGCTGTCTCGGAGTCACGATTTTTTGCAAGGCTAAGGGTCTCGAAGTCCCAATTCGTTCCTTTATCTGTTTTTATAAATGACATCTTCTCTTCACTTGATATGGAATTTCAATGAAGCAACTTACAAATTTTCCGAGAAAAAATTAATCCTAACTTCTCCTAATTGTCTTAATTCCACAAAAAGCTACAAAACCTGCCACATTGTCCGTTTTGGTGACAGAAAAACAGTTACTTTTCTCTAGGATATCATAACGTAGTGTGTCATAAACGAATTTCCAGTTCCAGTCAGTTCCAAGAAGCTGGCTTAAGGCTGTGCAAGCTCATTCTAGCTCTCAACTAAATCTGGGGCTTGAATTTTAAGAGTCTGAATGTCTTGCGCTCGCACTCAAAACACTTTGAAGTCTCGGTCTCGCAATCTAAAAAGTCAAAATGTCTCGGGCTCGCAAAGAAAAACTCTTCTCTCGCCAGCTTGTAAAGTCTTGTATTTACCATTCACCACCCCTGATGGTCAAACCAGGGAAGCAAAATCAGCCTCACAGCAGGTCAATTTGCCAGGTGCTGTTCTTTACTGTAACCCTCAATAGAGTACCTTCTGTAAAATTTACAGTGCCCTTTTTTAGATTTAAGCATAATAAATATTACCCTTTGTAGCTGAGACCAGTTCCCTTGTCTGCTTGGCAATGAAGTTCCATTGTCATAGGAGTGCATTTCAATTTCTTGTGGATAATACCAAGAGAAAATCTCTGCCACCAAATATCCATTTGAAAAATCCCTTATAACGAAAAAGACAAAGCATTAATTTATGTGTCTACACATCTGGCACTAAGCCTGACAGTGTTTTTAAAGTACTCTGTGTTCAGCAGTCAGAAAATTTTCCTAAAATTACAACTATGTATTTATTGTGCTACAAATACAATTATTGAGAATTGATTGCAAACAGACCAACTGGGACAACACTTAAGCTAACCAGAGTGCCATTCAGGCTAACTGGACATAGAGTATCACACTTCAGCATGATTCACACTAGTAACATAAGGACATAATCACACTGAAATAAATATTATTGCTTATGTGGGTAATGTGAACAACAATATAAAGACATATGGTTAGGTGAAGTGGAGGATGAGAAAATGTGGCCGTCCAAGAAAACAAAGGGAAAAAATGCTAGAAGAAAAGGGTGGGTGCATCTGATCTTTTAACAAGATAATAGGAGAACACACAGCCAATACCACAGCCTTGTCAGAGGGCTTAGTTTGGGTGATCTGGAATATTATTTCAGGTAAACTGGATTAACCTTCCTGATCTCAAGAGCTGCACCAGTTAATTTTTGCTAGTTGCACCATTTTGAAAACAGCACTGGTCTCTGACTGGATTTGGCAATTCTTGTTCCGCTTTGATTGATTGTTTGTTATGTTTTTATGACAGTGTTGTTCACACTTGTTTTAACAGAAACATAACATCATGACGACATAGACATAACTACATAAGGAAAAGATCCGTCTTATCCTTAAGTCGTCATGTTCATGTTGTTTAGCTGTTATGTTGATTATGCCAGCATGTTCACAATGTGTATATCGTTATGCGTATGTCGTTATGTCACAAGCGTAAACTAGGCTTTCGTTCAAAATACTCCATGTTTGGTTAGCATTGAATACACTGTTGAATAATACTCTGGCTAGCCTGAAAAGCACAAAGGTTAGCCAGCGAATGGTCCCCTGTTTACGGTTAGTTTTCAATAGCTGTAATGGTAACACGATGTAAAACGAAAATTTTTTGACTGCCTGACACGGAGTATGCGGCCATGTAGACCCAGTAAATACAAGTAAAGTTTATACCAATAGCTACTGAAATAGGACAGAACGAAGGCTGTTTACGGCGTCTTGGTTTTAGCCAAAATAACTTGAATTTTACCTTCTGGTGTTTCTAACGGGATGAGACAGATCCAGGCTTTGTATCCATTTCAATATTTCCCTAGGTAAACCACTCATTTCTGAGTGTCAATGTTCGTAAACTTGCAAAATTCTACTGTCTCTGAATGAACCACAGCAAAGGTTTACGTTTCCAAGGGAATAATATTACCATATTACCCATGGCTCTTATCGGCGAGGTTGTCATATCGCAGGCGCGCTGCTTACTCAAATTTTCCAGGGTGGGGTGGGTAAGTTCGTCGTTTTGTTTTATAAAAACACCCTGTATGTCAGGATGTTCACACTGCAAACACAACGACATAACGACATAACGACATAACTTCTTTAACATAGTAAATGGTTTGAACCCAGGAGTATCAGTAGTTCGTATAGTGATCGTCCGGGTGAGGGTAGTTTTGAAAAAAAAAATTGTTGTTGGTGACTAGTCACCAACAACAGTTCGTTTCAAAACTACCCTCACCCGCACGATCACACTATACAAATAACGTCTTTAATGTCGCTAGTGTAAACTAAGCCTAGCACACACAACCGATAATAATTTTATTGCTAAAATCTGTTTTCACTTTATTTACGGGCCGATTTGTCATTTCCGTTGAAATCATTTCAATTTCTAAGCTCCGTCTTTGTTTGGGATAAATTTGATGGCAAAACTATAAACAATTCTGCAATTGAATATTTTAGGGACAGTAGCAACAAACTGACATTATTGCGAACATTCCGTCGCAAAAAGCCGCGATTCAAAACTTTTTCTATCCAAAGCAAAACTAAAAAAAGTGAATCTACTACGATCTTTCTAAGTCACAATTGGTTTGTGTTGCCAGTGTCTTTATCATTGTGATATTTTGATTTTTGGAGCCCAAATAAAGTTGTTGCGGGTTAGGAGAGTTGTCCCTTGTAGGCGAGTTGTCCCTAACAGAGCGTTTCCAAGCCAGGTAGGGTTATCCTGGCGTTAAGGTAACCTTAGTGCTCAGCTAGGGTTACCCTAGTTTTTGGCCATTACTAGAGTGCTAAAGCCATAACCTATTGAAGACCAAAATGGCCAAAATCGATACCCTATTTATGACCAAATCCTTACCCTTTGGGGCCGCACATACCTATATAGCCCATATAAGGGAGTACCCCCCCTTCCCCGGGCACTAGGGTTACCTTGCCTCCTTATAAACAGCGCCTTAGGGACAGGGTTTCTTATCGTTCTACCCACAACCAATAACCAGTAATTCAGGGGGTTGCTAGAAACGACAACTCTGAATCAGTTTCCACAATGTATACGTTACTGATCCAGGTATACAAAGTGTCCAGCAGTGTTCATCATATCGGTTTATTTCTTTTATCGCTGTGATTTGTTTTTCCTTTCTAAGAGTTTTACGATATTATGCATAATTTACTCACCAATATTAGCTGCAGGGTGATTAGGGGTATGGGGGTGAGGATTGGATATGTGTCCCCCTACCCACGGGAGTCTGCAAACAAAGTGGTGTTTGAATTGCAAATCTTTGACTGCAAATGTCCTCCACAAGCGGATCATAAACAAAGAGCCTTTAAATTCGAACACCAAGGAATAAATTGCGCTATATTAACGCGCGCTCCTTATACGAACAAATGTCGCAAATTTGCCCTAAAAAAATTCGACGAAAAGACCTCGATGGACTCATGAAGAGAATTACTATACTCTCGTTTCACGTCTTCCCTACCATAACTGATGAACTGCAAGTTCTTTAAAGAAAAGAGACTGCTTCACAGTTTAAACAAAAGAATTTAACCATGTTAACAACCAGCCCGTTCTCCGAACGCTCTTCGATCACGATTAAAGAACTTGAGCACTTTCCCCACTGACCGTGAGTTCTGTCGCGATGTGCTGGATTTGAAGCCCAATACAATGCTTTTTTACTTATCAAAGTAGCAATTCTTTTACATGATATAAACCAGCGGCAGATTTTGAACCCACGATCCCTGCGCGCGGGTATAGATTCTATCTGATTCTATACTATACTATATTTTTCAACTAGCAGTCAATTCAATCACGCGCCATTTACCCGCTTACGATGCTGAGAAAAAAAGGCTAGACACTACACAATTTGGGTTAAAAGATTAAACTACCGCTCGAAGTTATTGACATATTCAACACACCTTTCGACTAAAGCCATTGCGTGTTATATAATTTAGACAATTTTACTACTCATAAATTGTCCTAAATTGGTAAATTATTTTTCAAGCACGTCCTTCCATTTTAAAAGTTGCGATAAAACCATTAGACCTGTTAAATAACATATCAACCACCAGCAATCTACCTGCTAATCTACAAGAGTTTTAAAACCTGCCACCGTGACATTTCCGCTCTCAAACAGTACTTTCAGCTGGGATTACTGACTTGGAACGAACAACTTAAAATCCTGTGCATATACACGTGTTGAACTAAAATGCAATTTCATATTTTCTGCGCGCAATGCTTTCTTTAGCAACGTTGGAGCCACGTTGAGAGATAGTTTCACAGTCTTTTAGCTTCTATTATTTAGCGCAGCGCGAGCGGAGATCGCAGACAAAAGATTTTAAAGTCTCAGCTTATGAATTATGGTGAGCTCATTATGAAGACAGAACACGTGCTTTGCTATGGCTCACACATGTTTCGTCAGTTTGTTTATTGTTCTTGCCATTGTTTCGTCGTTGCTCAGTTGTGAGCTGTTCAATCAAGCGTGAATACACAAAAAGGCGCTACATATCATCATTTCACTCAAAGAAAGGCCTTTCAAAAGACGAGCCGCTAAAAGGGTTAGCAGGCAAAATAAAAAAAGCGGTATTTATTCAGGACTACAAAAATAGACTGTCTAATTTTGCCATCATCAGGTCCAATTTTCAAAACACGGAACTATTCATAATTCCACAGCAACGGATGTACCAAGCAAATATGATGTTTTCCCGCGAAGCATAAAATCCCTGCATTTTTAGCCAATCACAACACGGAAGAGAAAGTAAACCACCTGCCAGCCAATCAAAAGGTAGTTTTTATAGCGCCGTAACAGGTGGACTATAGAGAAAGATTTGATCATAAATTTAACATTATTTCTACCTCTAGTAACAGGTTACTCGGTGATAAAAAAGTCTTTTGTAATCTCGCTGTCAAAAAGGCTCTTTGTTAGGGGAAAATTAATTCAAAAGAGCTATTTATTTCTTTAGTTACAGCCATTTTCACGGAGCCGAAGTGTTGGATTTCGGATACGAAAGAAGATTTCCTGAGATATTCTAGGGAGCCGTCTCTTTTCCTAAATGATTTAATCGGACCGTGAATTTTGATTTCACTGGGAAAACAGCCACAAACATTTGGAGATTACTTACGAGAAAGAAGTGCGCATCGCGAAGGAAGAAAACTGATCATTGTATTTCCGTGGATCGCTGGAAAAAACAGCTTTTGCTACCGAAGATAATCTCTGTCTAGGATCACCTGAGCAGTCTGCCTCCTACGAAAATGGCTCACGGTAGTGATATAGGATTTAGCATGGAAATCACATCTTATTCACCCGTGGCCTCCGTGATCGCAATCTACTGCCTTATGACTATTGGGATAAATATTTTCGTTTGCTACTACATTTACCGCAAGAGAAGTCTTCGCAGTTCCTGCACAGCGCTAATCGTGGCGAATTTGGCGGCCGTAGATGTTTTGGTCTCGATCAAAGATTTGCCACTTTTAATCTCCGTCAGTACGAGTGGAAGATGGTACTTCGAGGAGCACTGGTGCAGAAGTTATGGACTGACAAATGTAATCTACATCATCGTGTCGATTTCAACGCTCGTCACAATCACCACCGAACAGTACTTCCGAATGACCGATCCACAGAAGGTACCGGGAAATGCTCCTCGTTCCATTCCACTGGGTTACATCATAGCGCACACCACTCTTTCGTACTCGCTCTCTCTTCTGTGGAGCAAGTACGTGTTTATTAGCAGAAAGGCCTTCTGTGAGGTGGACTGGCCGCCTTCCGGGTTGAGTTTCACACTCATTACATCGTGTATTTTTCTGATTCCTGTCTCTCTCCTGATTTACAACTTCTTCGGAAGTGAGTCCGAGGACAAAAACTCAAGCGCAAAGGCCAAGCTAGCCAAGATGGAGAACGGAGAGGCGGAAGAGACCGAGGAGGACAAAGCACATTGCCGCCTGCAACTCGCCATCAGCATGTTTTTGATCACGTGGTCCCCGTACGTGATCGAGAGTTTTTTCACGTATTCATCCCAGGTCCCGAACATCGTCGGAGTTGTTTGCGCTTTTGTTCCAATCGTAACCACGACGCTTATCCCACTGTGGTACATAAAATGGAGACGGGATGCAGACAGAATGAGCCCTGTCATTTCGTACGTTCAGAATTGTTAAATTATTGGAACGCAATATTGAACCGTGCCAAACGAATTGGCTATTTGGACACGAGACTTGGTTTCTAGCTGTCCTTGTGTGTTAAATGGTCATATAATTGAGTGGTTTTTCCACGGTTTAGTTGCAACAGAGTTGCATCTATATTCCTCTGTTTCAGGGAAGAAAAAAAATTATAAATTAGTAAAAATAATTAAGTGGTCAGAAATATATTATGCGGGTCAAGAACGTTAATTCAATTGCGTTAAAATGTTGTGTTATGTATATATTTCAGTGCTCTTCAAATTAATTTCCTATAGACAAGGATAGTCAGTGTGTCATTTATAATGGACGATATTTCCCATGTTACATAACCCGGCTATTGCCTGAGATGATATAGTAATTCTGTTTTGTGACCTGACAAAAATAAGAACTTGTTTTTCTTTTTAAATGCATGGATACGATCATCAATAATGTTATTGTACGTTAAAACTAGTTTTAATTATTTCTTCTTTATAATTTTTGAATAGCTTGTTAACAAGTCATTGCTTTACTTAATTTGTAAAAGAAAGACATTGAGACATTAAAAGTCCATAAACTAATGTTTGTGAAGTTTTAATTTACTAAGGGGGACATAGGGGGGCTCTCAGCACCGCAACACCGCGAAAAAAAATTGACGAACACCGCATCATCGCAAGAAAAGTCGACGAAACACCGTCACCGCAACATAGATTTTTGGCGCCATTATTTGAATGTCTACACTTGACTTAATACTTTTATACCTCAACAATTTTCCACAAAATAAACACATCGCAATGCTTGTCATTGGCTTCGTGTCCGAGTCGATACTGCTGACGCCTGTAAATCTTTTCTTGTATATTTTGTTTGTGTAAACATTCATAATTTGGACTGAGAAGTTGACCCGAAAAGTTACAGCTGCCAAGTGGTAAAGCAGCGAACGTTTCCAGGAAGTCGCGTGTCCTGATAGAAACTAGTATTTTCCCAGAAATAAACTACATAGTTTAGTTTCTTTCGTCTTTGGTCTGAGATCAGGTCAAACAAGAAACCACAGCACCGCAAATAAATGCATTTCACCGAACACCTAAGGGTGATAAACACAAACATCGCGCTCCGCAGGTTTGAGATCACCACAACACCGCTAGGCGGGACTTTATTCACCGCATCACTGCATTAGAAAAACAATCAACACCGCAAAGCCCCATGTCCCCCTCCCCCATCCCCCTTTACTCTCAGCAATATACTGCAACAGCATGACCCTAACGATATACGGGTTTAACTGATCGTTATGTCTGTGTCGTTATGATGCTATGTTTCCGTTGAACAAGTGCGACTAACTTTGACATTACAACATAACAAAGAACCAATCAGAGCAGCGCAAGAATTGTAGAATTGCAGTTTCTTGGCTCCAGCCATCATTTTCGACGACTGTGCTTTGCTCGTTCGCCCTTCCGCAGGGAGGCTACGCCAGGCTATATCTGAACGAAACTGTTTCTAGCCTTTTCTAGGTGTTCAGGTAGTTCATTGGGGCTCAGTGTGTTTCTTTTGTGAATCTTCATGCAGATTTTGCCGACTTTTCTCTTCATTCAGTCGCTTTTGTTATAGATTTACAAGCTTTTTCAATTAAATGCTTCGTGTGGCTTTTTGTGTTTACCGGAACGGAACTGGCCATTATTTCTTGTATCTCCGTGGGCAGAAAGCTCACCAACTCTTCTGTTTTAGTTATTTTCCCAACGAATTTTAGACTTGACGCACTAATACTCCATATAACGTCAACACAGATATAACGGCTGGTAACTGAGATTCAGTTAACCAACCAGAAAAAAATGCATTATTCGAGGGTAAGAAGTTATTAAAATACATATTCATTCCTTGGCCTGGGAACAGTAGCGTGGGCACAGCCGCCCCTCTCGATTTTTCCCGATTTTTTTTGAGGGCAGGGGGCAGCTGCACACAAGTTTACCTCGAAGAGAATTGGACGCAGAGATCTGGTAACGAATATAAACTTGATAAACTTGTTACCAAGCTCTTCTCTTCTTTTACTCCCAGTGGCCTTTGCGGGACGTGGTAAATATCCCTTCACTTCCGATTTTCTCTTCTCGAGCGCGAGCGGTAAAATTTTTTTACGAAAACGCAGTTGTGAATGGCGAACTTTGACGCTATTTTTGACGAAAATCTTCAAGAAGATGAACGAAGTTCGCGTGTTTCCGACGAGCACGGTCAGGTGACGCCGGAACCAGTGGTTGTACGAGGAGTAGGACATATGACAGTGTGAGTTGTTCATGATTTATCAAGTCCTGTCTCGAAGTTCACATTACTTTCGGCCTTTGATAAGCCGCTTTTCTCTCTCCTATCTAATTACTTTTCATCTTAGAGCACAAGGGGTCAATTGATTTTTCCTTTCGTTTTTCCTTGTTACCTTTAGGTTTGGACTTAATAGCAAGTTTGATGTAGAATTTCAGCAAGGCCTTAGTGCAAAGGTACGTTCTGTTGTTTCGATCGTTCGAGTGGACATGTGTTCATAACAAGCGTGGTCGTTTTACAAGGGAATTTAATAGCTACCTTAAATATAGTATCTGTATTATTGTTTTTGCCTTTTAATACGTTGGCTTGTCGTTGTTTACTGATAGAAATGCTAAAGAACAAAGTCAGCATCAACGTACCTGGCTGAAAGCATTTTTATTACCTAATATCCTTCAATCATTTTTCTCATGGCGTCTTTCACCTTATCTTTGTTCATAATTACGATGTCGTGGCGTGCGAAGTCGTGATCTTCCGTCTTGTAAAGCAGTTAGACACTATATACCGTTTCTACTGACTTTATTGTCTCAGGAAGGTTTTTCTCACACATCGTTCCTCAGGAAGTTCAATGTATATTATAATTTCGTTTAATTCCTTTGATAAACTGGCCACCGGCAAGTACAGGCATTTGTAAACAATACTCAGAGAAAAAATTGTGTCCTCACTCAGATTCCTTGTCAGTCCTTAGCCTAGGTTTGACAATGAAAATGTACTCTTACACAATGCTATTTTACTTGAAAAGTTCAGCATCCAAAATGACTTAGTTATTTTAAAGGTATTTAGTTTAGTCTGTTCAATTTTGTTGTTGCTGTGTTATACATAAGTAGTATAACATATTAAATGATTTCACAAGAGGATTGATACAAGTTATTAATTGAAATACATGTAGTTGGGTGTAATTAGTTTAACAGTGGGAAGGAGGCTACTCACTGCAGTTAAGGGTTTGGCTTGTAGGTCTGAAAGTTGGTAACAGATTTTGCCTTCGAATAAGGTATTATTCAAATAGTAAGGTATTTTTATACCTTCGGAACAGGTTTTTTTAAATTTTGATCTGGTATAAGGTATTTTTTTGCCTCCTGGTATGGAGTTAAGCATCCCATGTAAGGGTATGAACCACATTAGAATGTCAACATCCACATATAACTCTTCATCTTAAACGCAGTAAAAGAAAGAGGTAACTTAAAATTTAGCATCTGATGTGATTGAAAAAGTGTGATCTACCATTTAAGATGTAAAAATGGCAAGGTCTGAAAATGGGTATTTATTTTAGAGGCCCGGTCTGAAAATGAAACCATGATAAGAAAGGTTATTTCCTGATATGTCAAACATGAAAAAGTAGGGCTGAATTTAAGAAGAAACTAGAAAGTGTTTTCTGTGGTCAAATAGATGAGGCCTTACGTGACACCTACAGTAGTCTCTAAAGAGATAGATGAAGGTGAAGGTTGTTAAATGGATGGTCAAAATTTGATCTTTGCAGGTAGCACCTGAGGAGTACAAAGCAACTGTGACACGAGTCAACAGAGTGCTTAGTAAAACAATGCCTGTTAATGTTCGCTGGTTACTCTGTGGTTGTATCTGCTGCTGTTGCACACTGGGAATGTCCATGTGGCCTGTGGTTTGTCTCAATAAAAGAGTAAGTAGGCTGAACATCAACCTTTCTATGTCAACAACACAACACAAAGTGATGCGCATCTGTCCATTGCAACCAACACATTGGATTGCCAGGAACATAAGTTAAATTCTCACAATTGCTTTTTACAAGTCTGACTCCTTTTTTCTTTTTCCCATAATGATTTTGTTTTAGGTCAGAACAGATTTTTCTCTGAAAAAAATTATCAATTTTTTTCATGTTAATGGATAATCTAACCCACTAGCTGTGTTAAAACAGGCATCATTTTTTATCTTTATCTTTGATGAGTTGCAATCACACTATCAAAGGAGCATAATTTATGTTCACATTATCTTGATTCAGTTTTCCGATTTTCAAAATTACTTTAGTAATAATAATTTATTTACTTATATTGCGCTTTTTAACATACAGTCATCAAAAGCACATTACGATACATTACAACATTACAATTACTTTCAAATTAAAGAAAACCTCAATGAATGACTATACCACTGAGTAACATTAAAATGGATAATAAAAGATAGACCATTTTTTCAAGATAGCCCATCTCTTGTGCACATGCATAGCAACCCCCCACTTGGACTTGCTTCTACTGTATGTTTCCATGAGGGTGTGTGGTTGAATTATTTTCTTACTTTTATCACAGACAAGACATTCAATAAACAAAGTGTTAGATGCTGAAAATTGTCACCTTTATCATAAGGTATGTCACTGTATTAAGTATCTATGTGAAGTGACTGCCCATTCCTGATAAATAACTATATACTATTAATATTTAAAATATGTACTGTATGCAAAATTCAGTCTCGCATACTTATAACAATTGACTATTCACCATAGACACTGAAATCTCTCCAGTAATGCTTTCTGAATAATTGTACAGGGTAAAGTCTCGAAGAATACGAAAATGGAGTTGCTTCCATGGAATAACTGATGAAAATTCTGTTTAATAATACTTTGAGGCCTCATTATAATCCCCAGACAGAATCTCAATTTTCTTATGAGTATGTTTGCGAAATAAGATTTGTGTTGACCTGCTAAAGTTTATGTTCTGGTGGATTGTTACATCACTCATTACATTGTTTTGACTCTGTTTTCTTCCACAGTGAAATTATACCAATACATGTCTATATAGTCTATCAAATATTTTTGCTCGCACATGATTGGTCTAAACATGTCACATGACTGAATATGCCCCAGCTGAAACTGGGGAATACGCGAGTGTCATTCCCCAATTTTCAAAACTGCACGTTTTACGAAAAATATTTGAAGGATAATAAACACAATAGCCTCCAGTTAGTGTGAAAATATGCTTGGATAGTTCTCGTTGGACATTATCTGTTCCTCAATGCTCACAGTTTCAATAAAAGCTCACAAACTGTTCGCTTCTCAGAACAGATAATGTCTGCAGACAAATATGCAAACATATTTTCGTGCCAGATGGAGGCTATTGTTTATATACAAGTACATTAAAACTCTTTTAATTACTTTCCCTTTTTAGCTTGGGCTTCACTGGCGCTTACACAAACAACGATGCATTAATTCCACTAATATGATGGAATATGTAAGTATTTGATTGTGTATAGTAGCCTCTCTCTAACATTATGACGTGATGAACCACCAATCAGTGTGGATCAGAGGTGGAGTTGGGTATACTTGTACAATGACAGACATTTCTTTCAGGCTAGTTTGTGTCTACTAGTAGAAGCAAACCCCATGTCTAATGTTTCTGGGCTAAGAAGTTATTTTAGCCTCCATTATATGATTATGTATCAAGGTAAATGTGTTTACAAATGAGAAGAAACTGGAAATCTTAAAAAGAGTATATATAGCAGTATACATCAAAGGTGATGCTTTGCAACTAAGAATTGGGCCTTTTTCATCACACCTTGCTATATACAGTCGACTCCTGATAACTCGAACCCTTGCTAAATTGAGCCTCATGCTAACTTGAACCAAAATCGATTTCCCCTGGATTTCGGTCATACATTTACTGTAATTTTTCCCTTGGTATCTCGAAACCTTGATAACTCAAGCAATTTTCGTTTCCCTTCAGGTCATTTTCTATATAATTTTACCCTCGATAACTCGAACTATGAGCATGACCTTTGTACCAGTAGCCAGTACCAGTAGCTTTGTACCAGTAGCCCAACATTGCTCTCTTTAAAATACCTCTACAGTTCACAGTTCCTGGACGTCTCCCTGCTGCTTTCTTTGTTATATTTTTCACATTACGCTACATTCCCATTTATACAGTAACTTAGAGATGTATTGTTTTATTTTCACTCGACTTCTCTATTCTGTAATTGAATTTGATTCAAATGTACACTGCATGAATACAAAAACATTAAACACAGATTTTTCCTTATTTCTGTTTACTTGTTCTCAATTCCCGATAACTTGAACCCCCAATATCTTGAACCTTTTTCAATTTCCCTTGAAGGTTCAAGTTATTGCAAGTCGACTATATTTGCAGGCTCTTGCTATTATGGACACCAAATGACTGTCCCAGGGGTGTCTGCCATAATGAGAGTTGACTGTACATGTATCAATAACACTGTTACTGTTGTTAGTTAGTAACAATTACTGGTATTTTTTGTCTTATGTGTTTAGGTTCTGCTGGTTGAATTCTTACCAAAGGAACAAATTTTACGACCTGATTGATGTTACAAGACATTGCAGCCAGGATTGTGTATAGGAATTCTATTATTGTATATTTCTTGAGATAATTTGTATTGAAAAAATGGAATGCATGCTAGTGACGTACACTCTTGTATCTTGTAAATTGCAAATTCATGATATCATATCAAAGTCCTGTGATATGTTCTGTTACATGTGCATTTTAGTTTAGGCCCCAGGAAAGCTTGAAGTTAACTTGGTCCCTTTTCTGATAGATTGTATGACCTCTAAATGACTTTATTTTTATATGAAAAACATTTGATGATTTCGGTCTTTGTAAAATGCATTTAGTTCCTATTTTCGTCTAAGAATCAAAATTGTTGTGGTCACAAGCTCTAGAGAAAGTTATTGAAGTTTGAAAACTTGAAGGGAAATGGAGTTTGTTCTGCCATATCCAACTTGCATACAGATTTTACACTATCACCCACTATAATCAGTGGCAACCAGCCAACAAGATAACAGCATTAAACACTGGAGATTTCACAGTTCAGATTATAGCAACTGAGTACTGTTAATGTTTAGATGAAATTAACATATAATTTTTATGTAAGATATTAACTTAATTATTTAGAGTTGAGTGGAAATTGTTTTGCCGATTTGTTTGATGGAAAAAAATTGCGCAAGTGGGCAAATTAGGTTTCCATGTTTTTTAAAAGTCAGGTCTTATTGTTTTGTAAATAATAATATACAACATTATTTTTGGGATAAATGGGAAATGTGGTTTAACTTTAAATATGGTCTTCCCTGATGGCAGCTTAGGCACATCGATGTTTTGGGATCTTTTGAAAATACTAAATTTAGGTTTGATTGTGCTGTTGATAAATTGTATTATAGTATTTGCAGTTCTTTTGTCTTTCAGAAAATAGGGTTTACTGTGCTAAGAAGTTTATTTTTTTTGATCTTATTTCCTTTATTTAAGTCCTTTAGACCCTATGATGTTCAAATGCCAGCTAATACATAGGTAATGAGAATTTGGGAACATAATCTCACACTGGGTTGTTTTCTTGGTTTATGTAATCAAATTTCCCCGACAGATTTCCCCAACAGATTTTAAGCTTAAAGTGTTGAGTTGACATTGACAATGAGAAAGTTCTTGTATATATATACATGTTTTCTTTGTTGCTTTGAAGTTAGCAGGGTGCAGTAAGTTCTGTCTTATCAAACAGTCTAGGGTCTTCTGCTCTCTTCTTCAGTGTGTGATAAGTCAGACTATTGTATGTAAGGTGAACAGGCTTAGTTCTTGAAGGAGCTACATCACGGTTTTTACAACTTGAAAAATTGAGCCTAAATTTTTCTAGCTCCTCGTTTGTTAATTTCCCATCCTCAATCATCCTTGTTCCTTTATGGTTTATTATTATCTCTGTAGTGTTTTTCTATCTTAACTACTATTTTCGGGTTTCCTTCAATTTAAAGGTAATTTTGTATATGGCCAAAATAACTCCAAATGCCATTACTGAGCTCCTTTATTTATTTTAAGTATTTTGTTTTTCTCAAGTAATTATCCACATTGCTGTACAGAGTTATGTGGAGGGGCATCCTTAGGGTTCTTTGAATTTTTCAAAGCTCTCTCAAAAACACAATCACTCTTAATCTTTATTAGCTTCTTACTGTGAAGACATTTTTATTACTCTAAGATTTTCATGAAATTTAGAATATGTGTGCTACCCTAGCTAATTTCTCCTTAAGCCAGGGTATTTTATTACATTGCTTTTTCCTTATTTTCAATTTGTTCCTTTCAGAGGTTCAACCACAGCCTCCTACACAGTTCATAATTACTTGTCACGCAACACTCAGAAGAATTGCGTGGCAATTCAATCAATGGCTGTGAAGCAGACTGTGGTTCATTTTCACTCTTTTCTATAAATATTTGATCTTTTCTTTTCAGTCTCTAAATTGCTGATTCGCACATGCTGGCATGTGTATAATCGGTGCAGGCACCAGAAAAAAAGGATAGTTCCTTTTGTTAATTTATTTTTTACTGGATTCAATTTCTAAACTGGTTAAGTTGTCAGTAGGTCATGGCTTGTAGTTAGTAAGTACAGCTTGGTTTTTGTGTTGGTGTTAATAAAGTGGAGAGAAAATGATCCTGGACCTTATTGCTCTGTAATAATTTAGTTACATCTTACTAAGGTTTTAATCTTCAGACCTCTTCCTTCTTGTTGTTTTCCTTTGCTGGCCGTGCATCTAAGACCCCGTGCACACAACGCCGGAGAAATTTGAAAACGCAGCTTTATTTACCCGGTTAGGCCTACCGTCCACACTAATCCGTCACGAAAACGGAGCTTTTCGAAAACGCTCTTCAAACCGGAGGAATTTGAAAACGCCGGCTTTGCGTTTTTGTGTGGACGGAAAATATTTTTAAGACGCAACTTTTCGAAAAAAAAAAGTAACTTAACGTCACGATAATCATAAAACACAAATCGAAAATGACCGGTGATTGTTGCTTTTTCAAGTCACAAGTGTGGACGGGGCCTAAACTTCCGAAAATAAACTTCGTATTCTTCAAACAAAAGCTCACCGATAGGTAATCAAAACCAGCTACATCTGAAATATTTGCATTTATGTCATTTTCGTCATAAACGAATTGCTCTGATTCAGTAGTTTACAACAATTATAAAAATCTTTTCAAGTCTGTTTTGAAGTCAGCATTTATTTAGTTACACTTCAATGGTCGGAAAGTTTTGATTTTCATTTGTTTACTACCCGCGCTCTGAGAATATTTCGGTGTAAAATCTCAGCCACTTCCTTTTCAAGATGGAAACTGTATTGTCCAACGCCCCGGGTCCAATGCACAGCCAGTGCGATCTTAAACTCTTGAACAGTGGGCATAATTCCGCCAAAATGGACCTTTTTACCGATGTCACGCTTTTCCTAAGTTTTCATTCAAACAAAAACAATTTAGTAAATAGGCGAAGTTAAGAATCTGGTCGAATCTGTTACGCACTGATGAAACATGGGACCCCAGATCCGCCTAATGTGTTCCAGAGAGGGTGGTAAAGGGTATTTTCGTGATTCGTGATCGGCCCTTTTTTTTCCCGTGAAATGTGAAATGGCTAATTTTTTCCTCGTGAATCGTGATTTCCATAGTCGCCGTGAACCGTGATTTTCCGAAACGTTCTGTTTTATTTTCCGTGAAGCTTGAAATGCCAATGTTGTATTTTTCGTGAATTGTGAAAGGGCTGCTTTATTTTCCGTGAAACGTGATCTATACCCCCCCTTTACCACCCTCTCCAGAGGCATGGCTTGTCCCTTGACTCACATTTCTCAGTAGAAATTGCTACGTTTGGGTCCCATATTTTCACGAGTTTGCGATAATACTTTAAATCTTCTAATTCTTTCGCTTCTATTAGATTTGAATTTTTAAGTGCATTTTAAATTTTATTCACATAGAATTAATTTTATTGTATTTTATTGTTGCTTTGTTACACATTTCACTGAAAAGCCCCTTGGGGACGTGGAATAAACGTATGTATGTATAAGCATGTGATTTCTCTGTCCAAGTCTTACTTAACGATCGGTTATTGTTGCGTTTCCAAATTTCTTCTGCGTAGTGAGGACGGAAAACAACAGAGTGAAACCTTCGTTTCCTTCGACAGGGCGTCTTTGATACTGCGTGATATCGGTAAAAGGCTCCATTCCCAGAATTGCCCCGTTCCTTTGCCCAAATCTACGATAAGTTTCGGGAATATATTGTTCTGCGAAACAAAATTTTAATTTCCTCTCTTTCTTCTACATCACAAAAAAACGGAATTCTCTGCGGAGCTCCTGGGCCTGGAGACCTATTACCTAGAGCCTCCGAAAATAAGCTCCCCCACCCCCCGCTAAAAAAAAATAAAATAGAAAGAAACAAAAAAAGTCTTTTCGATGATAAAATCAACAGAAATTTTCTCCTTAATGTCAAAGAAAGTTGGGGACAATAGACCGACCCCGGCATGCCTGGGAACGAATGATAAATTTATTTCCCGCCAAATTGTTTTGTTATTTTGCTCAACATGGCGGACGATGTTCGCTGCCCAGCTAAGAAGCGAAGAAAAACGGACAAACAGGACTTAGATCATCGGAAGGAAGAAAGTGAAAGAAAACAACATACAGCTAAGCGAACGGGTGAGACAAATACGTAATCTTTAGAAAAGGTTCTTAACTAATTTGCAAGTGTTCCATGTAATGTTCTCAACGTCAAATGATTGATTTCGTTGAGTTATAAGCTTGTAGAAGCTTACTTAAGAAGATAATTGATAATTCCCATTTCTGGGTTGCCATAGTCTAGGGAAAACGTTTGGAAAAATTTCAAAGTCGTAGGAATGAAGAATTTTGGGCAAAGATATAAAAAATTGGGGATTTATTTTGCAGTTTCTGTAGCTAAACTCCAGAATACCCGACCACTTATTAGCATCTCATTGAGAGTGTCGAGTGACACTCAGTCAGACAGACTCAGTCGACATCCCGATCGATACTCGGTGGACACTCGATCAACGCTTGATCAACAGTCAGCCAATAGTTGGCCGACTGTCGACAGACTCATATGTATTGATCAAATAGTAGTCGACTCTTGAGCGACTGTCAACCGAGATGTCTATGGAGTATCGATTGAGTATCAACTGAGTTGTTGATGGAGTGTCCATGGAGTATTGATCAAGTATCGATCAAGTATCAATTGAGTGTTGATCAAGGTATCGATCGGGGGTATCGATCGACACTCGACTGTGGATGCCTTTAGTACACATGATCGGCTATATCTACTAGTTTTGTTTATGGGAGGTATGTGCTGAATGCATGGAAATAATAATATTAGCCAGCAAGGGCTTATTTCACGTTGGGCTTATATCCCATGCTTTTGCAGGTAAAGCTGATATTAAAACCAAGGATGTGAAGGAGAAACTGAAACAAACATTCAAAGTTGAACTTCCTCAAGACTTCTTTGACTTTTGGGAATTTTGTAAAACATTAAAGAGTGAAAATCCTAGTGGTAAGTCTGAAGTATAATTTGTTTTGTTTTGCTTGCATCTGTTTAATGAGGGGCCAGTATTTCAATCAAAATGTTAAGCCAAATCCCATCATACTGTGCAAACTTGTTTATCAATTGGCAAGAGAGAGTGCTGTCCACTGCCAGGCAAATACACAACAGTTTTACCAGAATTTTTTTGAACTTGAAATTTTAGCCAGGGTTTGATCTGTCCTGGGCTCATGTCTTCCCAGAAAGGTGTTTAAAACAGTCATTCATATTTAGTGTATTTTCAACATGTTTGTCAAAATATGGATTTGGAAATGTGAATTTCCCAAAGAGGAAGCTGCTTGGCATTGGTTTGAAACAAAAATGATTGCTATTCATTGTAAACAAACTATCTTCTTTCTTTGTTCATTACTTAAGAGGCCTTGAGTGACTCCCTTGGCTTAAAGCTGGTTGGTCCATATGACCTGTTGTCAGGACTGTTTGATGACATAAATGAGGCAGATATCACTTCTTATCACCTGCATTGGAGATATTATTATGATCCTCCAGAATTTCTGACTGTGATAAAAGGTGATGACAACACAGGCTTCCACTTGGGCTACTATAGGTGAGGGGAAACTGAAAATTTTAAAATATTTCTGGCTGATGATTTTCTTTATTTTCATAACCTTGCTGTTTGACAATGTATCAATATGGTAAGGAGATACATGTATGTAAGATGTGGATCACTTCAGGGATTTAAAGGAATAATAAGCTCTTCTTGTTCAACAGGGATGACCCCAAAAGTTCTCCTGTGTTTGTGGCATCTAACCAGGCTAAAAAGACTTGTGAGTTCACAGTACTTGGTGAAAACCTCTTTGCTGCAGTAAGGTAGGTAAAATGGGGTTAACAGAACTGCACGATGGCACAATGGCACCATTCAGGGCTGTGCTCTAGAAGCGCTTGAGTAACACAGGCCTCTTAACTTTTTCCTTTGGGTGACTGAAAAACCTACTTTTTTTCATTTAAGCTGAAGTTCTGGGCACCCAGGATTTCATGGTTAGAAACCTTTGGGCTCCTTGTAATTCTTCTTAGACCACAGCCATGCCACTTGTGCAATCAGGATATGGCTCAATCCTACATCACTCAATCCGTAATCTTGGGTGCAATGGACAAGCCATTGGGCCACTGACCTAAGCTGCAGTCAGGTGGCTGTGTTCCCCGGGTGGGGGGTCTCCCATATAAAAAAGACAGGGGTGCTCGCCAGAAATTTTGGAAAGAACCCCTGAGAGGTATCAAGATCCTGTTTTGTGGGCGTGGCTTGAAATTTTTCTCTCCCCTAAGGGATACCAATTCTTACATAACGCGTTATCTCCTGTTCTATTTTTTTGTCTCGATACCCTAAAAGGTACCACAAAAACTCCCGCTGTGGACCTTTTGGGGCNCCCCCCCCCGCCCGGGCTGCGTCCTCTTGTTGATTTATTACATGTTTACACTTGTATGTGATGTCTCATTTGTACAACATTTTCAACGGTTTAGCAAATTTCTTGATGATTTCATGAAGACCCCTGGTGGTAAACCCAAACAGAAGTCACTGAAGACTCTTCAAGCCTCACTTCTGTCCAAAGCAAAAGAACTGAAATACAATCTTGACACCAGGACAGCAGGCATCAAAGCCAGAAACAAGAAAGTTGTCAGCAAGACTTTTCACAAAGCTGGAATAGTTGTTCCTGTGGATGCAAATGACGTTGGGTATCGTCCACTTACTGTGACTGATGGTGAGTGGATAATTTTGAATAGTAAATGTGGTACCCAAGGTTTCTTGTTGGCCGTCTGTCAGACAACTGTCAGTGGATAATTAACTGGCAGGCAGCCAACAAACGGCCAACAGTCAGCTGTCAAACGGCTGACAGTAGGCTGACAGACAGCCAAAAGTTTTATCTGGGGCTGTTCTTCACAGTAACTCCCCCCCATGCGTTGATCATGGGAATACTTTTCTTAACCTAGAATTATGAAATGGAGCCGCAGATTTTCCCAACTCAGTGCAAGTCATTTCTGAGAAATTTGGAATCTGTACGATTTAGAGAGTAATGAGAGGGAGAATCTGTCAGCTGTCCCTTATCTTTGTTACTTGTCACATGAAGAGATGACTGGTGGATCAGTTACGTTTAGTCTTCTAAGACTAGGATGGGTTACCAGATGTAGTTGTTCAGTTTGACAAGTTCCTATTAAATTCAGAGGAAAGTACCGTAATTTGATAAAATGTAGAGTCTAACCCCTTCGCTGAATTACCAAGGAGGACCCTGTTATAAGGTGTTTGTTGAAAACTAATAAATCCAGAAAATTTCGCTCAATTTGCGGTACAAAAATTTTATGAAGAGCAACTTGAAAAGGAATTCCTTGTTGAAATCATTTTCTCAACTGAAAATTTTATGATCAGTTTGTTATTACAGCCACAGCAGGTGCTGCAACTCAACCACTGACTAAATCACGGCGCAGACAGACGGCCGCCAACAATAAAACTGTTGCTGTCATTTGTTGAGTACAATTCTACCAAATCAAACCATTATTCATCATTTATTTTTGCTTTTAGCGTATGCATTAGGGCGGTTTTCAATTGAGTGTCAAAGGGAATCCGAAATTGCTTTTTTAATTGCTTCTCTACGCTCTGTGATTGGATTAAGAAACCGCGCCGGCCGCTCAACCAATCAGATGCAAAACCAAAACCAATCGCGACTTGTCAAGCTCGTTTTCCCGCGCTTGCCGTCAATTGTTTGTATTTTGCGTTTTCATTGGTTCATCGTGTTGTTCCCGTTTGTTGTGATTGGCTGTTATAAATCGCTTTTATTTTACGTCACTCTTTGCAGTTTACATTAACGTCTACACTCACTGTTTTGTTGTCAGGTGAACTGAAGAAAATTCTTAAGCGTATAACAGAAGGTAAAGATGAAAAAGAAAAAGAGCAAGGTTCGGACGATCTTCAAGAAATCATGACCTTGGTACAGTTTGCTAACGATGAATGCGATTACGGCATGGGGCTTGAGCTGGGCCTGGATCTGTTCTGTTTTGGAAGTGAGCGTTTTCAGACGGTCATTTTACAGCTTATGCCACTGGCTTACAGGCTTCTTGGTAGAGATGAATTTGCAGAGATCGTTGAAATTCACTTGGAAAACCGAACTAGAGCTTCACTCAGCCAGCTTCCGTCTTGATCATGGGACTTTTCCGCCCTGTTTTGTCTGGGTGTGGTTCCGGCGGAAGTGAGTTGAGCGAAGTTGAGCAGGAGTTGAACTTCTACCTCACATGATCAAGGCACGTGATGTTTAATGATGAACTGGAATGGATTATTGCCATAAACGAGGTTGTAGCCAGTAGTGTCTCGATATCTTATTTCACTTACATGTACCAAGCCGATACAGGAAATACTTATGATACTAAAACTGTACCTTTCACTCCATTACGACCTAGAATTCATCTCTTACTCGAAGGCGTTATTCTAGCAGCAGGTTCAGAACACCTTCACTGTAACTTAAAACTAGCTTTATGATTACAGATGACTGCGCTGTTCCAAAGTTAACAGAAATCTAATTTCCTACCACAAAATGATCGGACTGGCAACACAGAGTTTTAGCGACTAGCGACCCAAGCCCTAGTTGTAAGCACGGGCCTCCCTATGCAAGGGAGGACACAGGGATCAGTTTCTTAGCGTTGAGCTCGCGCTTATGCGAGCTTCGCTAGTCAAGAACCTGAGTAATACTGTAGACCATTATCTAGCGTACAGACTTCTCATTTTCCTTTACATGTAAGTTCCTGTGTAGGAAAAGTTCACCTTTTCAACTTCAGGAAAGTTGTATAGCTGACATTAAGACCACGGAATAGAGAAGAAAGAGAGAGGAAAGAAGTGTAGAGAGCACTATTTGACTTTTTTTTCTTGTTTTGTTGAGAAGCATAAGGGAATAATAGTCACTTGTAACCAAGAACTCATCAGTGAAACCGACCCTAAATAAAGGTATTCAAACGAAGAAATAAAGATGACTATTTATCTCTCGTTAACACTCGTAAAAGGACCATTGCACTTATAGTCGTATTTATCTCGAATAAAAATTATTGAAAGGGCAAGAGACCAAATGAGCAATAATCACAAAGTTAAAAGCGCTATATTATTTGTGAAGCAGTGAACAAACAGTTCGTTAGATTAAAAACTTTTTCAGAACAAAGAACCAAACCGCACAGGCTCGATTATAAGATCACTATTTCGCCACCATTTCAAGTCCGTCCGCAGAGTCACCCAGGAAGTCACTCGGGTGTCAATAGCCAGTACTCGCGTTTAACACTGAATCACCCAAAAAACTCTGAAAAATCTTTTGTAATTAAGTTTAAAAAAATATGCAAGATCATCACTGTATAAAACTTAAAAACACTGATGCTGGAGAGTTGAGGGACGGGTAGGTTAGTAGCTCTTGTAAGAAAACTCCTGTTCTTAAGCCATCGTAGCTTGATTAAGAAAACAAACAGCGGTGATAAACATTGTATTCCAACGCATAATTTTAATTGTTTTACTTGAGCTCTCGTAAGGTCTCACATGAATGACTTGATACCCTTTTAGAGGACAGCAGAACAAACAACAGAAACAATACGCCTAACCACAAAACAATAGCTAACAAGCAAAAGAATTACAAGCCTTATGCTTAGGAGGGCTGATTCATTTCCCACCCCTATAAACAAAATCGCTCCCACCTCTCTCTTTTTTTTTTTTGTTTTTTTTTTTTTGACGGGGGGCGGGACCCGAGTAATTTCCCAAGCAACCTGTCACAGCAATAAAAAGTAAAAAGAAATGCTTGCGAAATACTAGTAAGTGTAGCACAGGTAACATGGGGAAATACGAGAATCCTGAACTGATCCCATGTTTCATCGCGGGCCCACTGATGTGAAGAGTTATTTTTAGCGACGACACGTCTGAATATGGCGAGCGGATATGTAAGTGTGACAGATATTGATTGCCATTGTCAGAGATGTCGATGAGCCAACCCCGGAGCCAACCTTTGTAATGATAAGGCTTGCAAAGCTTAAGTGGCGTCATTTAGGGTTGTTTCTGATGGTATGTTTGTTGGGGTAAGTTGAGAGCTCGCCCAAAAGCTAATCAGACCAAAAATAACAAGAAACAATTAGACTCGCAGTGAAGCATGTTTTTAGTCCGTCTCACGTAGGCAGGTACAAACCAAAACTAAAGTGAGAGTCTTCGATTTCTAGATCTCGTCTGGTATTTTAAGCTTTTAATAACAACACTCAATTCCGGATCTCTTCAATTCCAAGTGTAACCGATTGTTTTTTCTCAGGCCCCCGACTAATCAGTCTTGTTTGATTTGAGCTCTGATAAGCCGATTTCATCATTTTCCAAGGGAGTTGAAAAATACTTAGGGGAACCGCTAAGCTTTTCCTTTAGCATTCAAGAAAATGTATTATAGGGTTGTCAAATTTTTTCCTGAAAAAAAAAATAGACGCAGAGCGCTTATTTTAATTTAAACCGAGTTTCACTGAGTCAAGAAAATAAAAGCTTCAGTGATGGCGTATCGCTTAGTATTCTCCGGTAATTTATTCTCAACCTTGAACTTAACGTCCTTAACTGGTTGAATAGGAGAAATACTTTCAAACCCGATATCAAAGTGTCTAAATGATTTACGAAGAATTCTGAGAGGATAGCTGGAAGTAGGTAAGACCACACTTGTGACTACCGGAAGCAAGTCTAGGCGGAATTATATGATTCTTTACATACATTTGTTTCGTTGGAGAAGGCTTCAACAATTTTTGAGTATTGAAAATCACTCTGTTAGATCTAGATGGATTTTTTTCACGGCCCTGCTGAATATTTTAGCGTTCCCTGCCGAATATCAAATTTTTGCATTGTCTGTAACATAGGAGGGTATTATTTTGTTTACGAAGAATATTAATAGTACGTGGACATTTACAATCGTTTTAGGAAATCGATTCAACAGGTCGTACACCCACCAAGAAGGGATAAGCTGAGAACGACATTTGTCAGAAGGTCAAAATCTGAAGCGTAGCTCGCTAGAGAGGAACAAAACAAAATAAACAGTTCTGTTATAGAAGAGTGCAAACATTCTTAGATAAAAATCTGCTTTTCAGTATCCATTTTCTCATCACAATATCAACACAAAGTCAGCCAACAGGTCAGGCCGGAAGATAACTTCTGACGACAAAGAGTGGATGACTGGAAATTCTCCCTTCTGGTGCACAAACCAGTCCATGATGAGACTAAGTTGTATTGGTCGGAAATTGAGGGGTAAGCCCTATGCTGTTGACGACATTAGTGTTTCCAAAATTGAAACCAGTTTAATGAATACGGGTTGTGGTAAGTCAAACAATTAGTAAGAAAAATCCTCATAACAGTTTCGGTGTGACATATGGGGAAAAATATTGCTTTTCGTTTCTTTTCTTACTTTGTTCATAATCCATTTATATACTTGACAACATTATTCTAAAAAGTACGTTTCGCATTTATTAAAAATTGATAACAGTATCGGCATTTGGGACCTTCTCGTCGAATGTTTAAAAAAATACAACAATTTTCTCTATACAGGTGATGATGTATACAATTTCCCCCCTCTTTATTAATACAATGTAAAAACGGATCATTCAGTTCAGAACATAGAAAATCATCAAATGGGTGATCACGCGCTATTAGGGGTTTTTCGGGATACGGGATATTTAGGTCAAAAAATCAACGGGATACGGGACATCTGGGGGAAAATTACATACGTACATAC